CTCCAAGGAAAATCGGCCGATGATGTCTCAAAACCACAAAGACCGATATGGGGGTTTCCGAAAATAGGGGACCCTAATATAGTACCCTAAATAATAGGATCCTTATTATAAGGACCCCACAATAAGGTACCCCCTAATTTTCGGAAAGTCCCAAGTCTTCCCGGATGGTGGAGCCCTCGAGCCCTCCCCGTGCTCTCCGGCACCTGGGGCTCGGCTCTTTCGGCAGCGGCCTGACCCGTCAGATGCACCACAGCCACAGCCTATCTGGGAGTTTCAGAAAATTGGGGGTACCTTATTTTGGGGTCCTTATAATAAGGATCCTATTATTTAGGGTACTATAGTAGGGTCCCCTATTTTCGGAAACCCCCAATATCTTGGAGTCTACCGGGTCTTCTTTGACTGGTGAAAGCAAAGATGTGACGGTTCAGGCTGTGATTGTCCTATATCAGGCCCCTTGCCTTGACTGCGGAGCCACAGTTGCCCGTGGCCGCAACCACCGCGGCGCGCCAAAGGGCCTTTCCATTCCGTTGGAGCTTTTTGCTGCTTTGGGCATGCGGTGGCGCCAATTCGGCGCAAGATTCTTCATTCAATCTCTGAACCTGCCCAAGACCGCCTCAGCCTCATGAACGCGCTGACGCAGTTTACCACAGAACATGCTTTTTGATTCTTTTAAGCCAAAGGTTTTCGGAATCAATGTAAGCAGCATCCTTTTCTGCTTCGACTCTTGACCTACTGAGCCTACTGTCGACCCTACAGAGGAGATCGGTACGAAGTCCAACTTTCTTACTAGGTGCTAGGCCCACCTTGACCTCATCCTTGGCCGTAAACTCCTTGGGTTCCGGGTTGGCTGAGCTCACGACAATATTCGACCAAGTACAGTAGCTCTTGCTGCGTTCAGGCCGAGAAGCGACCGGGGCCAAAGGCTCATCCAAAGCATGTGCAGCGCCATCCACCTCTCTGTCCCACGAAAATGGCCAGGCTTGCCACACTTTTCGCCTCCTGAGTCCATGAGCACCCGAGCCTGCAGCTTGTCGATGTCCATCGAGCCTTAGCGTCAAGTTCAGGGTTCAGGGTTCAGGGTTCAGGGTTCAGGGTTCAGGGTTCAGGGTTCTGTAGGGCTTAGAGGCCCCACAACCCCCAAAAAAGCCCTCTGTCCAAGGAGACCCGCAGCAGCTCAGTGCTGAGCTGAACTTGATGTCCTCCCAACTTCCGGCCGAGGTCGTGTAGAGCAGCCTCCCACTCCAACCGTCCTGGCTCAGAAGTAAAGCCACGACGCCCTCTAACTGGGGGTTTCAGAAATTTATGGTACCTTATTTTGGGGTCCTTATAATACGGATCCTATTATTTAGGGTACTATAGTAGGGTCCCCTATTTTCGGAAACCCCCAACTGTAGCAGCATACAGTCAGATAGCAGTTACAAGGAAGCGGCCAGCAGTCCGCACTTTGACACTATGAGTCGCTATGCCACAGAACGACTGTCTGGAGTGACACGGCATTCGCATAGCCCCTTGAGGTGCTCCTGTCTCAGGAAGGCCAGGATGTTCCGGAACTGCTCCAAGGGCAACTTGCCCTCCGCCTAGACCACGAGGAGTGGCGGGAGGGAAAAGCCCACACAAGACCAGGCCCCCCTCCCCCCCCAGGCGCGAAGCAAAGGAGGGCCAAGGCCAAAAGGGGCCTTCCAGGAGGCGATGGCCTTCAGCATCAGTCGCAGGACGCCTCGTAGCCTCGGAGAGCGCTGTCGTAACAAACAATGACAAGCATCCAGCATGCGGAACTCAGACAACGGCAAGGGTTGCTGCGGCATGTGCGTCATTTCCTGCACATTTCGCAGTTGGTCGGACGAAACGCAATCCCCCGAATTCTACCAGCCTGGACGAACAAGATGGCGGTGGTCTTGTTGGCCAATGGAACATGGCTCCTGTGGCAGAACAGCACTGTCTTGCAAGCAGCCTGGAACATGGACAGCGGCGTCCTCGTCTCTGCCACGTAGTCCTCCACGCTGAGGCGTCCCCTGCAAGAACGACGTGCATCGTCAAGAACTCTGTCGAGAACTTCGCTTGCAATACGACAACTTGATGTCTGTGATGTTGCTACTAGAAAAAAATTTCACTGAATCCTGAACCACCAAGAGCCTCGCCTGAAATTGTCCTGGCCGCCAATCAGCAGAAAGCTCACCGCAGACTCCGGCCAGCGCACGGGAGTTGGCAACTTCATAGCCTGAGCTTTGCTGAAATTGACGCTCACCTTGATCTGCTGACCATGCCTTGGACGTCATTTCATCATCGCGGTAGTTGATGTTGCGTTGCTTGATGCCCGCAGTCGCGCTGCTTTTGTCATTACTTGCTAGTGCGACCATCACCTGCATTGCCAGGCGGTCACCTGTTCGGATCATTGATTTCATTCCCGTGACACTTGTGCGTGCCTAGTGCAACTGGTGCAATGTTCGTCGTTTTTGTTGTCGTCCCAAACTCTTTCTGGCACTATCGTGCCGTGATTTGTTGCAGCCCTTGCCACTTCCTGTGGCATTCTAATAATGGGGAGCCTGACACCTGTCACGATTGTTGAGTTGTGCTAAGCTCGATCGTGACATTCAATGTTGTCAAGCCTACTGCCATTGCTTCTACCTGAGGAGTATGTGGCAAAGACTGTGCTCGAGCGATCACAAATAATGCTCAAAGCCATTACACCCGCAAGTTCTGTCGCCTAGGTTTCCGACGCGAGAAAACCCCAAGTCAACTTGGAGCCACACGCAACCGCCGTTGATGACAACGACCTCTGCTCTGCTGGGCTTCGATCGCAGGTGGCTCAGGATGTGCAGTTTGTTTGAAGGATTAAGAATAACGGACTCAAGTGAAAGCCCACCGAACCGGAGAAGGAGGGTCCTGGTGGGTGAATGCACGAAGCGGTTGCTGTCGAGAGAGACTTTCTGCTGAGAGAATGCTCCTCTGCATTGGTTTATACTGGGCAGGTATAGGCAGAAGGAGCACATGATCTCAGCAATTTGATGCAGAAGGTGGATAATCTGGCGTAAAGACCCACCCTCGGACTGACGACACGCGACCCGCTACTTAACTTGAACCCAGGGTTCCATGAGAGACACCCTCAAAAGACAAAAATATCTACAACGGCACATCAAGTAGACACAAAACTATATCGTACAGAAGTCATGCACACGTACACCCAGAACCAACGGAAACAACAGCTCATGCTCATGCAACAAAGGCCCCACATGAACCGCATGTGAGCTCTTATGTTCCAACAGATGAAGCAATACAGAATATGTTAGGGTTCCAATGTAAAGGCCGAAGGCCTCTGAAGCTGCAGAAAGTCTGAGCAGAGTGCTGGTGGCACCGGAGGACAAAGCCCATGTTCCTGCACGTTTGTCAGGGTCATTGAAGGGTTAGGTTCTAATGTTCAGACTGTAAAGCTGTGCGCTGAAAGAATGAACATGCATACGTGCATACATACGCACTTGCTTACCCATACGCACGGAGCTACAACCTTAAGAGGTCTGTGCTCTATATGCATGCCGGAACAGGTATGTAACACAGATAGAAATCAGCAAGGCCAGGTACCCTGAGACATCGCCTGAAACTGATAACGCTGAGCCGGCGACCTGAGCCTGCCAGAGGTGCGGCAGGACCTCAAGCGGGGGGGGGGCCAAGCAGGACGTAAGTTTTAAGAATGGGCCCCCAAAACCCTGTTCTAATTATTAAGGCCCCTATATTAGAGGTTTGCATAAACAGGGCTCCGGAGCTGAGGCCTTGGTGTTTTGGATTTGGCCCTCTCAGCGGGCTCACAGGAAACTTGGACGATCCTGTCGAATCTGGGGCACAGCCACAGAAACCAACACGTCGCGCAAACACGGCCAAACAAAACAGCCTAAACCCTAGACCCTAAACCCTGAACACCCTAAACCCTAAACACCCAACACCCTAAACACCTTCAACCCTAAACACCCTACACCCTAAACACCCTAAACAACCTAAACCCCTAAGAGCTGGAGAAAGCCTGGGGTCCGGGCCACTTGACCTCCCCGAGAGCCGAAGACCATCGTCTGAACCTCCCTGTGCACGCCGGTCTCGAGGACCTGCCGGATCTGAGGGTGTAGGGATGTAGAGCTTCCAGGGTTTTGGGGGCTTTAGGGATTTAGAGCTTCCAGGGTTTTGGGGGCTTTAGGGATTTAGAGCTTCAAGGGCTTGGGAGCTTTAGGGATTTAGAGCTTCAAGGGTTTTGGGGGCTTTAGGGATTTAGAGCTTCACGGGTTTTGGGGGCTTTAGGGATGTAGAGCTTCAAGGGTTTTGGGGGCTTTAGGGATGTAGAGCTTCAAGGGTTTGGAAGCTTTAGGGATTTAGAGATTCAAGGGTTTTGGGGGCTTTAGGGATTTAGAGCTTCAAGGGTTTGGGGGCTTTAGGCGTGGAGGGTTTCAGGGCTTGGGTAGATCTGGCTTGGGAGGCTTGGCGAAGCGTATGGAAGTGTTTGATGTTTGTCAAGGTACGTCGAGTTTTCTGCCTTCTATGGCATGCACGATGGTGCAGGGCAACAGTCTGCCCAGCCCCTGCATCATGCAATTACGATGGCTCTTCCCAGCCTCGTCTGCGAAGCTTTGCAGATTCGGTGCAGGAGCACCATGGGGCCAGCATGGCCTTCGCCCAGGAACAGCATGCCACGTAAACGAGAGGAATAAGCACGATGAGCCCGAACACCTGTCGAAGATGAGGATGAAGATGAAGACGAAGGTGCATGCGAAGATCAATAATTAAACTGAATCCAAGTATTGTGATGGCGATGTCGTTGTTGTGGGTGATGAGGATGATGCAGGATGAAACATACTGACTGTAGCATGGCAGCTGTAGCACTGCGCATAGCATAACAGCTGCCTGACAATCTGCTACTGGCAGCACTGCTGATGCTGCTGATGGTCATGTTGTAGGTGATGTTGACGTTGTCAGATTCTGCTGACGACGATCCTGGCGATGATGATGGCACTGATACTTATGATGATGATGATGATGATGTTGATGATGACGATGAGAATAACGATTACGACGATGTTGATGGTGTTGATGATGACGACGATGATGATGGTGATGGCGACCATCATCAGCATGATGGTGATATGGAATATGATTATGTTGATGATCTTGATGATGCTGATGTAAGCGAGGCTAAATGACGCTCTGAATGGCTCCAAAAAGAAGACATGGCCTTATGTTTGCGCTGGTACTTGCACAGCGGATGGTTCTTTGTAACTCTGCTGATAGGGTACACAGAAGGTGAGTTCAATGACCCCACATGCCCAGGCCCATGCATGTTATAACACTCAGCAAGGGAGAGCCGTCGTCGTCGTCTTCGCCATCATCATTGGCCATCGCTGTTTTTGTCGTTGCAGTTGTTGATACAATTGCTCCCGTGGCTGCGCTTGCGTTGGTAGCCTGTGGGTAGGATCTCTCAGCCAAGGAGCGGGTAGACGTCGTACGGCGCCCGAGAACGTCCGACCACCTCCACCTTGCATGCAGCGGCATCTGCACTCCTCAAAGCCTGGACCTCCACAAGTCGGGGCAAGAGGATACTATGCTAGACTATGCTATACTATAATAATAAGGAACCCGAAAATAATATAGGTAATTATTAAGGCCCCTACATGCTGCAAGTTCCTTCCTTTGCAGGCCCCTCGCTCGTCAAAGCAGCCGCCTGCCTTGAAGGATGGATTCCGGCCCAGCTCGGAGTAAATCGCGCCGTTGATGCCGGTGCCGGCACCTGCCCGCTTCGAAGGAAGCAAGGCGGGTAATCTGAGCACCATTGAAACGGCACATGGAAGTATGCTTCTGACAGGACAAGAAATGGTAACCATAACAAAGACAAGCAAAAAACAGAAAGGTCAGAGTGCTCACCAAGATCTCCCTGGGCTGCACATCCACCGATGGCGTTGCGGAAGCTTGCCTAAACCCGAAAATCCAGACAGAGACCAGCAAAGACCGCGCCACAAGCAAAGGAACAACAGCAACCGAAGCGCAACAACTCCCAACACCCCGACAGTCCCAGAGCCCAAGCAATGGTTCCTCCGTGCCCTGTCAAGGAAACTGAGGCAGGTTCGGGCGCCGGCGCCGGCCTGGTGCGACGACGGCCACCGTGATCTTGGACGAAATAGCGGGCTTGATCTCAACCTTCATCTCCTCAGCTCGCTTTGCTCGGCATTGTAGAACGGCTTCCAGGGAGTCGTGTGCTTTTCTCTCTAACTCGGCTTTCTAGAACGTCTTGGGGATTGATTTTCTGGATTGCACTGGGATATGTCGGCTGCCTCTGAAGCCTACGTAAGGTCAGTCCTTCTAGTGGGGTATGGAGCTCTGCACTAGTGTGATAATGCCAAGCAGTATCTGACGGTTCGATAGCAAACACCAACCAAAGAGTGTCAGTGTCAGGTGCATCACACCGGGACGTCCGAGCACGTTGGTGTTGATTATCTGGATATGCTTCTTGCTGCAGATCTGCCTGTAAGTATGCTGTCATTGCCAACATATGGTCGCACTGAGATGGCTACTGGCTGTATGGGAATGACAGCATAGCATGTCTCGTAGCTTATACCTGTAGCAGATGAGCGCCTGATATTTATTAAGTTACAGTGTTGCAATGTTGGAAAACAGTGAAGCCGGATAAGTCGATGTTCCTGCCCTGAGCTCGTGGCGGGGCTGACTCCGGACATGGGCACCTGCAAATGGCCTCGCCAATGCTTCGGGTTGTGATGATTCGATGGTCTTAATGAAACTGAGGGTATCTACCTGGGAGTCGGATCCAAGCTCATTTCTCGCCAGCTCAGAAGAGATATCCGATAACAGGACTCGGGCAGCTCTCCACTGCCCCGAGCTCGTCAAGCCTTTACGAAGCCTTCGAAGCCAGCACCTGGACTCCCAACCCACAACTCTTTGTCAAAGTTTATGTCCTCAAGACTGGCATCCTCCACCCCAGCCCTAAATCATTAACCTCCTATACCCTGCACGCTGCAGCATCCGCGATGCCTTCCGTCCGAGCCCTCCGGCGAGTTCGCTGGATCACCTGGCAGGCCGTTACTATGAGCACTCGCTCACTCGCGCCCGCGCCCGCACACACCTCAAACAATGACCGCCCCCGGCCATTTTACTTAAGAGCCAGAAGAGTAAACCCTGCAATGACGCTCTTCAATGCTGCCCAACTCCCCCCTCCCCCGCCCCAACTCACCGATGGCCTCCGAACCTGCAGGCCTTGGTGATGACGGGAGGGCAGCTGCGGTTCGGTTTGGGTTTAGGGTCTGGAATAAAGGGTCGAGGGTCTGGGACCAAGAAATCCTGGGCTGGGATTTTTTGTACATGGCATGCTTTGGCTGAGGTTTGGTGGACAGTACAAGCCCATGTCGCAACCACCGTGGCGCACTCACCCTGCTCTTTAGTGCCTTTTTTCAGCTGCGAAATAGATACTGCAACATTCATCCAAACAAACCTGAAGACTTACATCCTCCCCGAATCGGATTTTGCTAACTGACAAAATCCAACCCGGGAGCTTCCTCGCATCTTTCACTCCTTTCGAGCCCGGGTCCATCTAAAGCCTGAGGCCGCAAGCGTCTTGGGCGATGTCGGCGGTGAGCCCCAGTTCAAAAGAGCAGCCTCCGTGGGGTGGTTGGACAAGGGGAATCAGTTGGACGCCAAGCCTCAGCCGTATCAGCCGTATCTTTGCAATCCTGAAGTTCACACTAATTGCCACTCTGCAGGTTAACTACCGGCATGCTCCGAAATTCCCTCGGAAGTCACAGAAACAGAGGTCAAGCACGAGGTATCTTCGTCTGCAGCAAAGACGATGAAGGGGCTACTCCTCATGAACGTGCCATGGACCATGCCGTATCAAAGATACCACTGACAGTGGCCCTAAAGTCTCCCTCCAAACCTCACTGAGCATGCAGCTTCTCCTGCCTTGGGCGTCTGGCCCACCGTTCGGATGAAGGGTGTGCTGGTGCCAGTAGGGCTGAGCCCTGCCGGGGCTTGCAAACAAGCTCCATCTTAGTTTCAGCACTCACAACTGAGACAAGCCTGGCGAGGTTCCAAGTACGACGCATCTTACTTTAGGGCTCCGGGATTTAGGAGGTTCTCTAACACCACCTTGATTTGTTTCACTTGCGAGACCCGGTAAAGGCACGGTCTTCTAACAGCCTGTTGTTTGGAGAACTTAGAGGCAAAGGAACCCCGCACTCTAGACAAACTTACCCTGAATGTCGGAGCTTGGCAACGGAACACACTGGGAAAGAAACTTCCTCGGCGCTTTGAACACCTCAACATGCGGGTTACACGCAAGCTGTGACAAAAAGATGTCAGCAAAGATATGACCTGCTTTGTGCCATGGTCTGATGTGCTTTCGCTGATTCCGCATGATTCTGCGGTGCCATTGCAACGCCAAGCCTGAGCTTTTTGTCTGGTGGCGTGTGGCCCGGTTGATTGGGCGGCACGCTGAGCGATCGCCGACGGCTGCGTGCTCTGAGTTCTGAGGTGCACTGTGTTCCCCCGGCTCTTCTCTGCAGAGTTTCATGTGCTATGCGTAGCCTTGGGCTTGCCACGTGCAGCAAGGCTTCGTCTTTCTGATTCTTGCATCGTCTGTCTCTGGACCGACTCTTGTTTGCTGCTTCGTAGGCCTTCAGTCTGCCTGGAGGTGGCACCAATTCCGTCGGCCCAGTGGCACGCAGGTGGGGTGGTTGGAGCTGACATGAACGACAGAAGTTTGATCGATCGGCAGCCGAAGCCTTCGAACCCGAAGCCCCAAACACTTCAATTCAGAAACCCCGGACGAGGGCGAACGAATGACACCCGCAAAAAGAAGCCCTCGAGGACTTGTCAGGCCTTGGTTCAGGATGCCGGCAAGGTCCAAGTGGTGCTCAGCCTCCCGGCGTGCCTGGAGCTGCGGCCCGGGTTCTGCGGCTCTGCCTACTGATGCATTGCAGGCCATGGGCAGCAGAAGCTTAAGATGGACTACAGGCCCTGAAACGAAAGAAACTGATTCAGCAAGAATCCTAAACCCCAAACCCTACCTATAACACCAGCAGCTTTGCTTTTCTGCGCTGGAGCCCTCAAACCCCGCCCTAAGCATTAACCTATCAAGACCCTAAAACTTACAGCAAAAGACATGCGCCTGCTCCACCGTGATGCGCAAGGTGTCAGCAAGCTCCGCCACGAGGATGTCCACCTGATGTATCGGAATGCTACAGTGCAGGCCATCGGAACCCATTGACGTGATACTGTAGTAAGCCCTAAACTTTGAAGCCCAATACCCAAAGTCAAGAGGTGCTCCGAAACATCAACCCCTACACAAGCCAAACCGATCAACCCCCAATTCGAAACGAAACCCGAGCTTGGTTCCCCTTCGGCAACTTCGAGGGTTCGACTGCAGTTGCCGCGGGCTGGCCGGTCGTAAGGAGTGCATAGAGTCGCTGCTCCTGACACAGACTGGCGGGGCTAAAATGGGGGTTTCCGAAAATAGGAAGTACCTTATTCTGGGGGTCCTTATAATAAGGATCCTACTATTTGGGGTACTATATTAGGGTCCCCTATTTTCGGAAAGCCCCAAATGGCTCAGGGCTTCAATCAAACACTCGTCACCTCAGAAGCCTCAGAACAGAATCTCCAACCTAGACATAGCCGGGAAACCCCGAATCCCGAAAGCCTATAAATCCTCGTAAGGCTCGGGCAGCAGCGCTGACCCAGTCCGGACGAGCAATAGCAGAAAGCTGGAGGGCAGGCATGGCTTCAGCCTGCAAGCACACCGCTTGTTTCTGAGACCCCGGGCAGATTGACAAGCGCACAACAAGGCACATGAACATGTAGCTCAAACCGGAAATCCTACATGCCTGCAGCCTCTCAAATCACAATGTGCAAGACACGGCCACGAGTGCGCCTCAAGTTTTTGAGCCGATTCCACCGATGTCTCTGCGATTGCCCGTCTACTGTGGACTAGCAGAACCCTGAGATTCTTGACATCCTTAGCCGGTGACGATGCATAAGTCATGGAGTCAGCCTCGGAGCCAAGATGGCCAAAAGCCAAACGGGTTGCAGGTCGATGGCCAGGCGTGCAATGCTTGGCCCGTCCATAAAACTGACCCGGGTTCCCTGCCATATTTATATTGGTTTGTTTATAGATACATATATACATATATATATATATATACATATACATATATATCAATATCAATATTAATATTAATATATGATATGATATGTCTGCCAGCACTTGAGACTCCTTTCGTTTCGACTCGAGGCGATGCCGTTTGTCACGGCCGTGTTAGCGCCAGAGCCGCTCAGAACAGGAGAGTCCAACTTTGAAGTGGTCCAGAAAATGAGATGCCAAAACTCTTCAAAAGCTGTTGAAAACAGCAAGAAATTGAAGCCGCTCCGGGTGGTCCTTGGCTGCCTCTTGAAGTATGTCCTCTGCACCTATTCCACAGGAGTCGCTGCATCTGTCAAGCTCTAGATCCGGGCTCCTCTTGAGGCAGAGCTACTACTGCGACTGCTACCAGAAGTAGGCTGCACAGGGCTATTCTGGAAATGGGGTAGGGTAAAGAGCCTCCAGTTCAGATCTGAATCTCCATAACAACATTAAAGCACATAGATAGGATCCGTACCAAAGGCCGCAACAAGAAACCGGGGGCTACTTTCTGATTCAGCATGAGATCCCCTACAGTCCCTACAGTACATATCACTCCTACTCTCTGCAAGGCCGAGTGCCTAACAACAAATGCGACAGCAGAGAAGGACCGCTCGAGAAGAAGTGTGGCAGTGAGGCTCCGTGTACCAGCTGTTCGAGCTTAGGGGTTGGGGCTAAGGATTCCGGGCTTGGACTTGATGGGTTAAGCTTCGATGGTCTGTGGTAGTGAAGAGTATTCGAGCTTTGCAGCAGGAAAAGCTGATATTCCATCCAGGTCTGCTACGCAGAGAGGCTGCTTAAGTGTAGCAGCAGTATAACACTTAAACTTGTTGCTACGATTACGGGTTATGTTCGGAGTAATTATACTGCATAACTGTAATGCAAATACCAAGACTGCCGACTAACTAACTAACCAACTAACCGACCAACTAGCTAACTACAAAAACCGTGAGAGTGATAATAACAACAACAGTGCCAATCATCATAACCATATTACTGGTGGTAGTAGTAGTCGCAGCAGCAGTAGTAGTCGCAGCAGCAGTAGTAGTAGTAGTAGTAGTAGCAGCAGCAGCAGCAGCACGAAACATACAAACACTGCAACGACTCGAAAATGATAGCAATACTGAACATATCATGATGGTGAAGATGCATCGTCGTCATTCTCACTATAGAGGTATTGCCAATGGCAGTACAAACAACTAGCGGGTCGGGGTGGGCATGCTCGTGAATCGCTGCGATATGGACGACTGCGCCTCCTGCTTCCTGTTAGCATAAGATTCCACCTTAAGAGCCCTAACCAGAAAAGCGAGTTTGATCTCCGCCACAAGAAGCTCTATGCTAGGCAGACACTAGGGTTTGGGGGTCTTGGGTGACTGCTACGGTTGTTCTTTCACGTGGACATTGTGATGCATGGCCGGCCACGTTGGCCTCGAGCTCCAAACTTGAACCTGCCGTTTTGGAGCAGAGTAGGGATGTGGAGTAGATCATAGTTGAATTTGGAGTAGATCATGGTTGAATAATATGGGAGTAAATTACCAGAAGCTGGATGAAGTCAGCTGTCGGGTACTCGGAGCCTCGGACATTTGGTATCCAGCCGACGGCTCTGATCCGAAGCTGCGCACGCCACAGGTGCAAAAATTAACAAGTCTGATAAGCTTTGCGGGGATCTCCCAGGAAGTTTGAGGGACGCATGCACATGATGACCCATAGATGCATAGGCGTTCAACTACGTCGACATGACAAGGTCCGTTGTAAGCTGCACTTGCTGTAGCTGCTTACCCACCAATCTGCTCCGACCGGGGAACGCAATGCGAGCTTCTGAAAGATTCGGGTTCCCCGTGAGGTAACCTACAGACCCTGGGAGCATCATCCCACACCTCTGTAGCCAGAACTATTGAATCCCCAACGCCCAAGTGAGCCTAAAACCCGGAGCTCGGGGCCGCAAGCGAACAAAGTGCCTAGCGGCGCAGACATGGGCCGAAGACTCAAAGCTCAACGGCGTAGGGTTTAGGGGTCTTCTGCAAGCTTTGGGGGTTTACATGTACGCGGCCGAAGACTCCTTTCATCGCCGTATGCAGCACATATGCAGACTTTTAAACTCACGTCCGATATAGTGCTTTGAGAAACCTCGACTTGTAGCTGAATCGCATGCGTGCCCTCATCGGATGGTGATCCTCGCTTTGGAATAGAAATCTAAAGATTTCTCCCCAGGCCTAGATTCAAAGACAAGGCCTGACAGAGGGCAATTGTGACGTAAAGACTCCACAGAATCTGCAGATGCGGACTTCTGACGGATGGAAGTTTTGGGTTTAGAGTTTAGGGTTTAGGGGTTTAGGGGTTTAGGGTACTGTAGCTTCCAGTTTCAGAGTTCCGAGGAGTCTTTAAGACGGGAACGAGGAAAGCTACAGGAAAGCTGACCAAAGACACCCCTGCCGTGTCTTGCAGGACACAGCCCTGGCTCCAAGTGAGACGTCCAGGGAAGGACGCTCTTCTGGACCCAAATTAGTCCGGGGTCTCAGCAATATGTCGCATTCGATATACCATGAATCTGCATACATACATATAAGAGTTCATACAAACATTTTTGCATACAGATAAATAGATATGTATGTATATATATATATACGCATACACACATTTACTTACTTCTGGTCTTGGTTGGTCTGGGCCCTTATAACATACCCGACAATTTTCTAGATTGTGTGTACTTGCCATCACCACATGGTGGTCGCAAGCCACATGTATCTGTACAGTTGCTGAACGAAAAAGCTTTCGCTAGCGACTACTTCCAACCGCAGCTCTCTCTCTCTCTCTCGTTCGCTCTCTCATTCTCTCTCTCTCTCTCTCTCGCTCTCTCCCTCTTCTCCCTCTCCCTCTGTGTATTATGCTCTGCAATTATATGTAGCCTGTTGACAGGTGTCCATAGTTGCTTATCTTCACGCGGTGTTATGCGCATTATGTGCACTGACATCTATGTATGCTACATACTGTTGACAATATGAACATATTCGCACTGCTGCGCTACAAAAGCTGTTGCACACAGCGGTATGTCACTACATGCTATCGTCTTTGCATCCAATATGAACTGCTGCTCTCAAGTCTTATCCTATAAATTGGTTTCAACACCACGGGACCAATGAGCCCAAAGCTTACGTACCTCCGGCCGCTAGCCGCCATGCCGCGAAAGCCCATAATATGACCAAGACCTTCAAACACCCGTACCATGCTAAGCCCGCTGCGGCAAAGCCACCTGTTTCAAACCCTGCGGAGACAGCAGGTTCATCCAACAGTGCTGAATCATAGTAAGCCGGAATGCGCAACAAACAATCAAATAAAAGATCTCCAAACTATCGTCTGAAGGCTACAGACTCATCAGGTCACTTTGAGGAATATTCTAATATGAATCTGTGGGCCGCAGCCTACCCCTCAGACTCCGGAGCCCTGCCAATGCCAAAGTATTGCATCGTTGCTCCTCCAGAGCAACCGGATTGGCGCCTCAGCGAAACATGGGAAACTTGACTTCTCACAAATAATCGTGTAATTATGTGTCTTCCCATGGTTTGCGGCACTGTTGTCTTATCTGTCCTTGATGTGGTTCCTCCTTTGTGTCCCTCCTGCAGTGCGATCGCTGTGATCCTCTCTTGGCTATCATTGCTGTTGGACGCAGAATCAGTGCAGCAAGCTGCCCGGCAGAGATCTCAAAAAACACCCATGCCACCTCCTCTTTGCAATCTAAAGGCTGCAGGAGCAGATCTTGAGTCGTGCTCATGCGTGATCCTACGTAGAACAGTGCGTGAAGCATGCCCCTGCTTAGCACGCAGGCCCTTCAGCTCAGCCCTGCAGCTCAGAGCAAGCGGGCTAAGTGAGCGGCAGCGTCAAGAGGAAGGAGGAGAAGCAGAAAAGGATGGAGGCCACGACGTTCGCCTGAAGTGAAGAACAGCGAACATGTCCCTACAGTCCTCGCACCGACCACATCCGGTAGGAGCGACAGTGTAACAAAGAAATGACAAGTCCCACGAGGAGGAGGACGAGCCCAGCCCACATATGTACCGTCACGATCCCAAACCCCCCCCCCCCCCTCTGCAGTTACACGACTACACCATTTTGCGTCGCGCTCGCTCACATCTCGGGACCCTCCTGGCACTCCTGTTTCAACAGCTCGCTCTATAAAGGCCTTTTTTTTATTCTGGCTGAAAGAAGCCCTCGAACCCCGAGGTCTCTCCTTGACCTGCTCCTTGACTCAAGGGCCCCAAAGTCTGAAACCTCACCCTTCAAAAGTCGAAGCCCAGCTTCCCTGTAGGCCATGGATGCGACTCTGGCACCACCTGCTCTGGCATCAGCTGTATTTCTAGTCTCTCCCCCTGCCAATATGGAGCCCGATCTCACTCACCAATCCTACACACCCTGCTTCGTTTGTCATTCGGGTTTAGGCTCTAGATGTGAAGAGAAACAGGGTTGAAGAGGCGCAGGGCTTATGTTCGCCAAGGTGACTGAAGAGGCGCAGTTCTCGCTTGTCGGGAATAGGATCTCAAGAGGTTGTGCTGCAGGATACCAGGCTGGAAGGATGCATGGGGGAAGTTCCCTGAAAAACGCTCTCTTGTCACTCTTGCAAGCCTTAAGGGACCCAAACATGGAGGCTCCACAGCAAGGCTGCTTTGCATGTGCTGACGGAAGTGTGGATTCATTCAAGGCAGATGTGCAAACGTATTTTTGCACGGCAGGCTTGGGTGAAGCCGAACAGCAACACTGGCACTTCTTGTCACCACGTAGTAGAGCCGCTTGCTTGAAGCCCACAAAGGTATCCCGAATCATGGCCTGCGTTCTTGGAAAGAGCTAGCGAGCCCGAGGCTCTCAAGCGGCATGCTTATTGGGATCATGTCAAGCCTTGCACATGTCCATGTTGGGCATACCCAGATTAGATAATCTTTCTGAACCTCAAGCCGCCGAATGGTGCCAGGAACAGGCACGGCAGTTCTCGGTTGAGCATGCTTACACTGGTTGCAGCCTTCTGGGTCTACTGGCTTCTACCCTAAACTCAAGCTCAAACCATGAACCTTAACCATACGGTTTGACAAGCCACCGAAGATCGCCAGCATGAAGACCACGAAAAGCCCCAGGGATTGCAGCAGGCTCTGCAAGTTGCCCTTCAAAGGGCGCGCGAAGTGTTCACACAGGAAGGCTCCTCGGCTCGGACTGAAGAGTGCAGATGGTGTTCTTCCAGAGTGAAGGCTGGCTTACATTTTTGAAAGAGACCCATGGCAACAGCAGCTTGCTGAAAGAAAAGGCCCAAACGACTAGTGTGACTTGTGTGTCTCTTACACTCAAGATGTCGGTGGGGACATCGATGCTGCTAAGTAGGATGGCGGTGATGCTATTTGCTCTTCCTCCATTATTCAAGTCATGGTGTGTTGGACCATGCCAGTTCACCAGAGCATCCGGTCAACTGCCAGCGAACGTCCCGCGAGGCCACGCATGCTCTCTATAACATCCGGAGAGGTCCTGACCTGAACTCCGAAACACTTCCGGGGCTCATCGGCGAGACCAAGGAATCTCGAACTTTCAGCGCCAACGCCCGAACACTTGAATTTTCGATTACAGCCCCTCTGCCAAAGCATCCGGAAAAGTGACTTTCTCTCCAACATCCGGCCAAGGTGCCGAATCGCAACATAGCCATGGCATAGAAGGTGAAGAGCCCCAGTACCATACCGAACCTGAAGCTCAAAATCCTTCATATGGGAGTCAGAAAATTAGGGTACCTTATTTTGGGTCCTTGTAATAGGGATCCTATTATCTAGGGTACTATATTAGGGACCGCTATTTTCGGAAACCCCCATATGTTTCGGGTTGAAGTGTCGAGGGGGCTTGAGACTGATTCTGGGCAGTGCTGCGCTTCGACGAATAGCTTGCCGGGATCTAGGTTAAAGACCGTGTTCTCAACATGTGGATGATGTAGTTGCCGCAGTTTGAGCATGAGCTTGGATGGCTTCTTGTCACGGCGAGAGTTGCGAAGGCAGGAAAGGATCTGTAATGCTCTGCAAGAGACAGGAGAACCCTCCTAAAGTCGGAGTTTCAAGACCATCCTGTGAATGATGAGGTTGACCGGTGGCGTCTGTGCGCATCTCAGAACAACCTGAAGCTGGTCGGTACCCTTGAAGCCCAGGCCGTCAACTCGTCATTCATGAGCCGTGATCACTTGAGAAGCTAGCCAAACAGCCGAATACCCCTCATTCGGGAACGTCCCTTGAATTACGCAGGGCTTCTGACCATGGCTTAAAGAACCATTACCAGCATGTTCCTTCTTTCAAACGTAGTTGACTGAGCTCTGTGAATACCCTTTCTTGGCAAGCAGAGTTGTGGGATTGTCTTGAAGCCTAAATCCCGTCCATTCCCAAGCAGCCCTCTCTGGGCTCACCACAATTGAGACCCAAATAATTGCAAGAAGGTCTTGGGGGGGTGCATTGTGCATCATACATGCTGTCATGCCATGACGTGATGGGTAGTTCTCTAAATTAGGGTCCCTTTTTAGGTCCCCAATATAATACGACACCCTTATAATAAGGACCCTAAGCGGGACCCTAATTTAGAGAACTACCCATAGGTTTCTTCCATTCCGTGTTGCTACCCAGGCCTCCGGCTGAGAGGCCTCGCGTCTGCGGGATGTTCGAGCTCTTTCCCCGGCCCTCACACCGATAGGTAGGTAGGCAGGTAGGCAGGTAGGCAGGTAGGCAGGTAGGCAGGTAGGCAGGTAGGGAGGTAGGTAGGTAGGTAGGTAGGTAGGGTTCGACCTGCAGCAGTAGCTGCGGCCACCACCACTCTTCCCCGCCCAGCATCTCAGGGGGCTTCCGTAAACGTCATCAGCCCAGCCCTCACACCGAAAAACGTGGCCCTTAATGTCTAGAGCAGAACATTTAAAAGCCCATTTTCGGGATAGATCATAGTCATAGTCTCATAGTACATGTATACAGGGGCTATAGTCATAGTACATATATACAGTGGCTACACATTGGGAGAATATATCAAACACCGATTGTGCCGACCTCCATATCACCCACCAATGCCAAGCCGGGGATCCCATAGCAAAGCACCGCGCGGGGAGGTGCGCCTCCCTCGCAGGTAGGAGGAAATTCAGAGGGCTCTGTTTTTTTTCGGGATGAGGGGGCTTGGAGGGTTTGGCGAAAGCGTCGGGGGGCTTTGGAACTTTGATGTGGAATGATTGGATTGACCGGTGGCTTGGGCTTGGGGGTGTATCGCGCAGAGCCTACAGTCCAATCGAACCTGCGACTGTTGCGACAGGCGCAGCCAGGGTCCACGAAGCTGAACCCTTCTGATGAGACTCATCAGATCAAGTCCACAAACAGCCTCCCGGCGGCCTGCATCTGCCCTGAACTTCCCTGACCTGGCCTTGCAGAGCGCCACCAGCACATCTATGCCCAGGCTCACCAAGGGCGTGACGACAATCAGCGTGTACCTGAAACCGAGGATTTAACACAAACGCCATGCTGTACTATATTCGGGAACAGGAGACCAACCACCTCCCCAAGGCCTAACATAGGGGCCTTAATATTATTAAGACTGGGGTTTTGGGGCCCATTCTACTATACTTATAATAAGGAGCCCCCAACATAGTATAGCATAGGTAATTATGTAGGCATTGACAGTATTTCATCCCTTTTTTCACTTCACTTCACCGGCTCAGCCTTCTGCCCCAAGGTGCTTGATGGGCAACGCGGTGCCGCAGGTCGCGACCAGCTCTTTGCGCAGCGGGCCACGGACGTACTCCGTAAAGGCCTGCTGTCCACGTGCCACACTGTTGATACTGATAAGTTCTGGGAAAACTAGCCCAAAAAGTAGAACCATAGTAGCAGTAGGTCGCAGCAGTAGGTTGTAGCAATAGGTTGTAGTGACACTCGTAATGGCTCTGCAATACATGCTCTAGGACGCTTTGTCTTTAGAGTCCTCGCTGGATCGCCCAAAATCCTTTGCTGTGCTTGCAGCTTCAGCACAAGGAACTCGCAGCTGATCGCCGCTTTCCTTCTCGACGCGCAGCCCTTTACCACGGATCAACAAACGTCTCGGAGCGAGCCAATCCGACATCCTGCAAAGCCTGGAAATCCTGAAGCTAGAAGCGGCTCTGGAAACCCGCACTCGCCTCCAGGCTGCCATACCACTCCACGATGGCGCTGTGGATGAACTCCTCCAGGGCTTCCCATGATCACAGAGAACATCGGTGCCCTCTTCCAGCGTTTAAATTTAGTCTCTTCATGTAGACGGAGGACCCGCCCAACAGGCGAGGCAGTCGTACTACGGCAACGAGGGCTGACAAAGTCTAGAGCTAAGGAACACTGTGCCAGTTCAGTTGACGAAACCGTAGATTCTAACTCAGGCAGCTGATGCTTCAAGGCCCCCCACATGCCCCACGAACTGCACCAAACTCGTCCGAACACCTAGACCCTAAACCTGAAAGGATACCTGCCACCCTGAGGCGACTCTGACGAAAGCTCACATTCGTTTCTCCGGAATCTTCGTGTTTCAGGTCCCGGATTCAGGGTTCAAGCCGGAGAAAAATCGATTGACCTGGCTGGCTCAAAGAATTCAATTCGGGTCTGGAACAAACATTAATAGGGGTACCCTAGAGCAAGAATCCAGAACCTGCAGTCGAAGTTGCGGGCTCTGGCTGTCCAAGAGTGCTAGTCGAATCTTCAGCCCCATGCACTGGGATTCTGAACCCTGACTTGCCCTAAACCCTAAACCTCAACCCATCGTGACTTCGGAACACTGAGTGAACCCTAAACCTGAAAAGACCGGAACTCTGCACCCTGGCTGCCGGTCCTTGTCGTAGTCATTCCGGCACTGGACGGTGCCAAGGTCAAAGAACTCCTCAGCAAGGCTCGTTTCCAGCGGTCATACGGTTTCTGGTGGGAGGGGGGGGGGTCTGCGAGGTGCGCGGGGATCTAGTGACCCTACCTGACAGTTCAAGCATCTGGTCTGGGCTTCTCGGAGATGGAAGAATCTGAGAGGCTTGGCAAGATGCTCGACAAATCCCAGAATAGCAGAAACAATGCAAAGTTGGCAGACCCAACACCCTCAAGGCTCGAGGCAGATGAACACATTTCCGACTTGATCTACTTCCAACTCCACACCCCGACTGCCGGCAACCAGTATGCCAACTCGGAGAACAGCCGTCGCTTCAATGCCAGGCTCTTACCTTGGGTGGCTCGAGAAAACACGCATCTTATAGTGTTGACGTAACGAGAATCTGGAGTTGAGATCAGGGCCTCTGCCGGGTGTAGAGATCTTCGTCTAGCCTAGCCAGATGTCTATGATGGAAACGTGTTCGGGACCTCTTCGATTGCAGGATCATGCCTCTCTATCCAACAAAACATGTCCTACAAAGGCCCAAGCACCAGATCAATGCTTTCAAGAGGGAAAATCACCACCATGACACCCTGATCCCTTGCCGCTACCGGCGACAGCACAGCCGCTGACACCCATGAGAATCCTCACACTACAATTGACTAAGTTGTCCTTTAAGCCCTTTGAAAATTATTTACTATCATGGTTCTCTACAAAATAGTAAGGGATAAAAAGATCCCAAAAGACAACCCAGATAAGGCTGATGATCGTAAAGCCGAGGCCTTTCACTCAGAACTCAAGCTGCTAGACTAAATTGGGGGTTTCCGAAAATAGGGGACCCTAATATAGTACCCTAAATACTAGGATCCTTTTTATAAGGACCGCAAAATGAGGTACCCCTGACTTCCGGAAACTCCCAAATTCAACCGAAACATTGACTCTTCGTGGAGCCCTTTGATGCATGAGTCATCCAATCTATCTGTCCGGAGACGCACCGGCCTCAACAATGCTACTACTGTTGATGATATAAATCCTGCATTACCCATAATAAGGAATATACCATCATTCCCATAGTTTAGGGTCCTTAAGGTAATGCAGGATTTATATCATCAACCGTAGTAGGATGCTTCGTGTTGGTCTGGAGTTTGGATGGTCTTGCTAAGAGACTCGCGTCGGCTTCATCATCTAGAGGTGTGATCATGGCACACTGAGCTGTGCGGCAAGTGTTCACAAGACCCTAAACCCTAAACCCTAAACCCTAAATAACCTTAAACCCTAAACCCTAAACCTGCTGAACCGCCCT